CTACCTGATTGTACACGCCAGGCAAAGTCAGCTCTCCAGATCTGAAAACTGTATGATTTACACAATCTTATCATTGAAACGAAAATCCATAGAATACCTTAACCTTTGGCTGTTAGGGACCCACCTTCCACAGCCCCACCGGACAGAAAAGAAGAACATCGAGGATGCAATCACACAAGAGGAGGTTTATTTTCTGGCTAGCCAGGGTCCAAGCCCCAGAGCACCAACGCAGTGGCCACTCTTGCAGGCAAGGACCTGACCGGGGTTGCAGCGTGCCTTTATCCCTATGGTGCATGCGCTATGCATTGGCTGATCATGCTGGATCATGCATTGACCTTTAACATGATTGGCTGGCTGGTAGCCCCACTATACAGGGGTTCAAACAATGCAAAGTTGGCAAGCAACAGTTTCCAGAAGCGGACGTCTCAGTTAGCCTTCCCGGATGTTGCTTCCGGCTTCACTGGGGGCGCGGCACCTTGCAGGTGTGCAATGACTCAACCCCTCACATGGCCTTCTCTGAGAACTTTCACTTAGCACAAAATTGATTATTAATTTATTATCAATGATAAGTGATTTCTCTCAATTATAGGAAGCCTATATGTATTTATAAAGTTCCTTTGGCAGAGATATAGCCCACCTATCGCAGAAAATTCTTTTTCCATTTGGATGGACTTGCATCTTTTCATAGCAAAGTCTACTTATGCCAAGTGATCAGTGTTCTTGGTTATTTTCATTAGCATTTATATTTGCCTTTTAGAATTGGCATCAAATTTTGAATCATATTTGTAGAGCCAATGGCTGTTTCAATATATATCCTTGTGATTTTTAAAAATATATGGCTATTCTATTTCTATTTATTTAATGAATTTATTCTGAAGGAAAAAATATATTACTGTTACTATGCTTTTTTTCAAACATTTATTGTAATTATTTTGTATTTTCAAAGGAACTTAACATTCTAAATATTAGTGACAAAGATAATTATTGACTTTGAAAATCCAAGCTATATTATCATTAAAGCAGTTTAAAAGAGCAAATCATTTATAATCAGTTAGAATTTTCAATATACGACCTATCCTAGTTTCTCAATTTATATATTCACTCCCTCACTAATTCATTCACTCATTCAATAAATGTGTATTTTGTACCTATCATGTCTCAGGCACTGTGCTAAATGCTGGACCTGCAGAGAAGAATGAGATAGGGCCCTGCCTTCAAAAAATTTACTTCATTAATTTCGGGCTGGGAGCAGGAGTGAACACTGGTATGAGTTTATGAGAGAGATGGCAGAAACAAA